TTATGAAATGATTATTACATGTAAATATAGTGATGAATGACTAATCCGTATAAAAAATTAAGAATGTTAAAAAACTAACAATCTTTGGGTTTTATTTAAAAACTATAATCAGGAGAATTATAGTAATATACAGTTTGAATGATATAAACATTTTATAGGCGCCGTTCGAGAATTTGATTATATTAAGTTAATATAAGTCAACAGATACAGAAAGATGTCTTTGAGAGCTAAATTAAAGCTCTAAGGATCGACTCTAAGAAATCCAGTCGCGATAAAAGTTCCTTTTCCAAATCATTCAGATGGATATGTTTACTGGAGGAACAGGGCGCCGGGAATTATCAACCATCACAATAGGTTCCTTGGCCCCTGGGAATCGGCGGCTCTTGAGTATTTATAGGCCAAGTTCCATTTCCTTGCTGCCAGATAATTCAGAAAACGTTGTATACTGAAAACAGTGTATTCGAAGTTACTAAAGGCCTGAGTCACATGCAGTCCTCGACTGGCTCTTATTTTTAGAATGTTGTCGTGTTTGGTAGTTTTAAAAGTWTTTTATCTGTCTTATGGGACCGTATATGATGGACTAATACAACGGGTCAATGGCCTTTAGTACCCACAATACTATTGGGTCACTCAGTCTTACGAYCTCCCAGGTTTTATGGACAGATGTAAACAACCAAGTAATTTTAGTATTATCTGTTTGTCATCTTTTATTATTGGTAACTAGCATCAAAACCCCTGCTGAGTGGATTCATTATCGTGACGTTATTATTAAATCGACAGGGGCGCTAACAGCACGTGGCTTGCGGAAGGAYAGGAAGTTGAAACGATAACTCAGGATAATACATATTCAATTTATCATAATAAATATGAAAGGTTTTGTGATTCTTTTATGAGATGAATAAAATTATTATGATACAAGAGCAAGATAAATACAAAAACAAATTTGAATTTTATATAATGAGCTGGTATTTTGAGTAAGCAGAAAGACGTATTGACAATAATTCCAAGGTGTTCCTCAGGGTTCTGTTTTTGGACCTCTATCATTCTCTAATTAATAACATTTATGACTGTTCAGCTCTGGGGTAAATGTGTTTTGCGAAATCCAACRGTGCACCCCAGTAAAGGACTGTCCCTTGAACACCGTTTCCAAGGCTTCTGTTCTAGGACCTCTGGGGGTACTATGTGTTTTGCAAAATCCAACAGTGATCCACTAGGTGACTGTCCTTTGAACGTACCCACAATAATGCAAACAAATATATGCAATGAAGTGCAATGCACCAGCATAGACAAGGTCTATAATATATTGATAGCCTTAACGGCGGTGAAAGGTGCAAGTAAAGGCTGAAGATATATCATGTTTTACGTCGGCTAATTCGGATAAGATGTGTTCATGTGTCGATGTGGCTTGTATTAGAAGAGACTCTATATCATCTACAATCTTACAAAAAATCACTTTGGGACGAATGCTGGAATCGTGACGTTAGATTTCAGGTGCTAACTATATAGAATATAATGTTTGCGTAAACGTAAGTTTTCTAGACCACAATCTTCGCATATAATCATCTAAATATAGCCATTACGATATGTTTTTTCGCAGTCTTTAAACATAAAAAAACGTTGTTGACCATGGCCTTTTAAAGGTTAGGTTTACTGAGATTGCAGTTCCTTGAAAACAACTTGGCAAACAACAGTTTCTTGGGCGACTAAAAGAGTTGAGTTTATCGCATTTCCAGCCGCCATCTTGAACTGAAACATAGTAGTAAGTTTTGATGTCCAAGTCGTGTGGGGTTATTGACTTGTATCAGTAGCGATTCTTGGTATTAATAATAATTAAATGTAATTGACTTTGAACAAAGTACMTATGGGAGTGGCGGAGAAACCTTTCATAACAAAGATTCCTCTAAAAACAAGAAGTGTTGGAAACAGTAAGATACTGTGAAAAAACAACTCACTCATTAAATTATGTATGGAATAATAATAGCAGTAAAAACTGACGTAAACTCATGAGAAGTCATTCAAGCAAGTTGACAATTGTCTAGCTCTCAATATATACTAAACTTAAAAAAGTATATGTCGGTATAAAGCACTTTGAAAGCCAACTGAAAATATAATAAAATTTCTATTGTTGAATGGCCCGTAGCAACTGCAGATTTGTTTTGTTGTCAAAACAATAAAAATAAAAACAATAATTTTTCGCTACTAAATGCTGCTATTGACAATGTTTCTTGTTATCAAATCAAACCAAAATTTAAAACTAAAATTAAAGTATTTTGAAAGCCTAAAAGTTCAGAATTTTTCACTATTAAAAGTACAGGGATTATATACGGAGACAAATTAAAACTCTGACTTGCACCGATGAAGTAAAATAATTTGTCTGATATAATTATAAATGAATAATTCACTCTCAAGGGGACAGCTCTGCACTCGRTGAGTTTTTTCATGTTTTTGGTTATAAATAATCCATGTCTCCATTGATTTGACTCATTAAAAGTTATAACTGAAGGAAAAAAAAAGTTCGAGTGAACCTCATTGTATATATTTTCAATGTTCTGTGGCTTCCCTCCCAAAATACTATGAATTGAATATTACACGCCGCACAAATTCGACGCAAAAACTGCTCTGTTAGGAATAGCTTACTTGAATCAAACATCTAGTCATATTTTTTAATGATTTCTTTTAAATTTAAGATGGAGTTGCCTAATAGTTACTGATAAATGCGATTTTTCAGTCCTAAAAGTTTAGCATACAAACTCAAAACAAAATACCGCACAAACATTAGGACGTTTGAATACTCTTCATATATACAAAAACAGCCTAATACGTCAAAATCCCACACATTTAATCCTTCTATTACGAAACTAGGAAGATTCACTTGAATAATTCAATAAAAACAACATCAATACCAACAAAAGTTTCGACAAGAAACTCACATACTTACAGAAAATACTTKTTTTCWMTTTATACAGTTCCAAAAATCATCCTCAGTTGTAGAAGGACCGGAATGTTTTGCGTCAAGAGAAAAACTCTGAAGTACTGTATTCAATAGGAATTCTATTACACCAGAGTATGTACTAGTCCCACAGAGAGTGCCACTATCACAAATGATTGACAAAATATGCGAATGCGATAGTTATCAATGCTTTAAGGAACCCTACATGTAGTGCATTGTTGGATGAGTAGATACACAGAACTAGGCTAGGTYCCCTGTGGTTCTATTATCACAACAGAGAATGTTTCACAGCTCGTTTGCAGCTCATAGCCAAGGGCATTTATGGCTTCCCTCATATAGTCCCGCTAATGAATAGCGATGATTTCGGAGGTTGGGCAATTAAATTATGCTATTCTCCCCAGTAAGGAACTTTCTCTAGTTTTGTAAGRAACTTTAAGTAAACATTTATTGCGAAACAATGGAGTGCTGATGAGATTGTAAGGAAGGTTATGCCAAACGTTATGGGAAAAAATATATTAGGATATGGATAGCTCGGGAATTAATGAAAACTAAATAAACAATTCCAGTCAACAACAATTAAAAAGAAGGAAAATGCTTTTTAAACACATTTAACTGTAATATTTCATAGCAATGCAATACGATATTTAGCTTTCCATTCAGCATTTTGAAAATTTCAAATAGGTCCGTATTTGGGTACAATATTCCATATTTGGCATTCAATACTATATTTAGCTAAATATCATTTCATATTTGAATATCACATTCCATATTTAGCTGTCATATTCCATATTTAGCAATGTAATACCCTATTGAGTTTATTTATCATTCTATGATGTGATTATGTCATTTCATACTTTGCTATACGTACGTCCATTCGATATTAGCCTGTATTTTTATACTAAGCTGTAACATTGCATACTATCTGGTCGCTTRAATTACTTTTACGGCATTCAAAATTTAATTTGCTTTCCTTATAGACATCGCTATKTGTTTTCTAATGTGTTTAAACTGCAGCAAAGGTGGCGTACTTTCGATGCAACACGAGCGCCATTTTGTTTTTGTAATTGATGATTGTGGTTGGCAAGAAGAACGATTCTTATGAAAGAACAAGGCTCAGATCAAAACCTTTACTTGTAAGGAGACTTGCAACAAACAGAGGAAAACTTGATTTCACATTCTCTTAGAGCTGCGAAATACGTGCGTGACTACACAGCGGCGGCTGGTGAAGGAGGCTGGGGAGTCGGTTACCAATAAAAAGAAATYTCTCAGAAAAACATCTCTATGGCAGGAGAGAGACAAAACACAACCACTGCACATAAGCAAATCACAATGATAAACAAATAGAAAAAGGCTCGATCCACAACGGCTGCAACGTAATGCCAATCCTCTCTTCTCTCCGCTACTTCGTTATCATCCGTCGCCTCTCCTTCGCGACAGCAACAGCAGCAGCCGCAAACCTTCGGAGGTTGTTCGGGAGGGTATCGTGCAGCTTCGGAATCCAGAAAAACTTGAATTACTGGTTGRTGTGCTTTRTCGAGATTATTTGGGAAACTTGTGCTCTGGCTTAACATGGAGGTGTTTTCTAGTTTCCTAACTGCRATGTTTTGATTCTGTTGRCTTTGTCKACGTCGCCTCTCATGYACGTCATTGAGGAAAAAGTTTTTGGTTGAGCCTCGTCGTTCTCTTGGTGTYTTAATATCGTTGATCAAGAGCGTCTTCTTCGGAGGGCGCAAGCCGAAAATAGGACCAAGACATCTGAATGTAAGGATGCGCAACCAGAACGGGATCTTATCGGACGGTTTATTATAATAAAAAGACAAAGACACACAAGTAGCGACCAGCGATGAACCCATAATGATGACAGAGCAGGAGAAGTASCGTCCGATCAGTGGAACCACTTCAGATGTAGGTGGAATGTTATCGATGAAGATTAGCATGAAGACTGTCATACCAAGAAGGATTGTGATAGTCAAAGAAACGCGTTCGCCAGACTCGGGAGGAAACCTGAACGTAAGCGCAGACAGGAACGTCAACAAGACACAAGGAAGGATCAAATTCATGAAATAGAACAAGGCACGACGGCGGACGTGGAAATTGTAAATCAAGGTGATGTACGGCGCTGTACAACACGAGAAATACGAAATCTTCCTCTCGCAGTCTCCTGACAGCATTTCCCATTCACCATTAGTCGTGTACATTGAAAGGTCTGCTGTYTCRCGAGCRTTGGTCAGATTTAACTGATGCCCATCGTAYGCCCATGAACCAAACTCCAGTTTACACTGTTGGTCATCWAGAGGAAAGTTAGTGATGTCGATCTTGCATTCACTTTGTACTTGGATAGGCGACAGCCAACGAACTTTACCAGTTGARTACAGGAGAACCTTGGTCGTAAAGAGGTACATTTCGCCGTTGGAGTCGGAGTTCACGCTGTAAAATATAAACGTCGCGGTTGTTGAATCAGTAGATTAAGGCAAAGCTCCCTGCGCCATCTTGAAAAGTGACCATACCTTTGCATTGAAGGAGGAGGACTGGTGAGCTTACAATCATACAATTCTGTCAATAGGCAATGTGCAGAGAAGCCATTTTGAGCAGCAAAGGATGATGGTAGTTGTAATCCTCGTTCTTTTTTATGTCCGCTAAAACAGCCCTCCTTACCAGTTTTTGCTTTTTCTAAGCGAAAAAATAAGTATTTGTGCCGTTTCTAAAAACAAAATATAAAAACGACTTTTAAGGAGATATTTCAGTGGCTGTGAAAAGTCACGAGGACTACAACTACCATCATGCTTTGCTGCACAAAATGGCGTCGCTACACATTGTCTATTGCAAGTATTGTCTGTATCTATCACTGTTTGCTCACCGGTTGACTCGATTCAATGCAAAAACACGGCTACCTTTCAATATGGCAGCTCGGCAGGGCCTTTGAGGAAGGCCTATAGACTTCTGAACCTTTTACGTCACTACTTGATTTTCAATGAATTGTGGGATCAGTTTCAAGAGAAAACAAAAGAAATTCGCCATGTTCTGTCCCAAACATGTCCTACAATGCATTGCGTATACGGTACATGACGTAAAAGCTGCAGAGGTCTATTGCTACATAAAGGTAGTGACGTTTGAAAATTATAATTAGCAGCGAGGCTCAAAATATTTAACACATTGCGACACAAGAGGGCGTGGCAACCCAAATATTTTCAGTTGTCTGTAATAACGGGTTGCCCGTAATATCGAGGGTTTATCACTCACTTGTTGTACAACATGATATCAGGCTTCCATACGATGGCAGGATCAACGTTTAATCTTTCAAGGCCGCCAAACTCAGTCTTATTCCAAGTRAGCCAAGGGTCATGCCATTGCTGCAGAATACATTAAATTATCATGAAGTGATTTTTGACTAGACAGCAAAGTTCTTTAAAAGAGTGATGAGTCAAAATACATGTATAGCTTTATAAATATAAGATGCTAATGAAGATTGGATGGATATCTTTTTTGGAGATTCACATCGACCAAACTTTCAACTTACCAGGCGAACCCAGAGATTACTTATAAGGATTTGTTTCTTTTCATGCTGAAAATGGAAAATAATAAAACGCATTTAAGTGCAAAGATTCTTTCAAAAATATTAGCAGTAGTATTAATAAATGAGAAGGGCAAAAATTGAGGAATAGGAAAGRGRGCTGCTCTACAAAAAKCTGTAATCTCACCAAGTTGACGATCTGRCTGTATCCAATATCAAAACTGACTGGTACCACGTCCGTCACATTCCTGACGGGTCGGACCGATTTGCTGTAATTGGTGAATAAATGCTTGAAGAGACGATATTCAGGGTTGCCTTCGTTAAAACCTGTTTGAAACAGAGAGAAAAGTAATAGAAACAATATCGCCGAGGAATACTTGGAGATGCGAATTTCTTGGTGGTTCCACATTCGATTTATTCCTCCTGGTTTTCCCTTCTATGTMTTGACACCGAGTCGTAAAATGATTTATTTAAAAGTTAATTAACACATAGGGTAATATAGGCGGGTTGACTGATCTCGTATGCAGCATCCCGAGTAAGGTTGAGGAAGAGCTGATTGGAGAAAACAATTGAAAACTGTTTTGAAATTTTTTGAAAAATATTGATCTAAATTTCCTTTAGAAAAATATTTTCATTCTGAATAAGGAATTATACTGATTGGAAGTTTGCAGGGGTCAAAAGATTATTTTGCTAAATACAAATATAATTTGTAAATAAAATACATATATTTTCTGTTATTATTTACAAATGCAAACTTCGAATTCCCTCCCTTCGCGATCCAGGGAGGTCTAACATGTCTAATTGTTTTATAAAACCCAAATCAGTCAGTAAGCGTCCATGACGCTCTCGAAAATTAATGCATTTCAAAACTGTAAAGACGGCTCGTATCATTCATCCGCCATCTTGTTTTCGTAGCTTGATGACTATCAGAAATTATTAATTTCAAAAGTAGCCAATCAGAATGTAGGAGAGTGTTAAACCGTTAACTGTAGACCATCTGAATTTAGCGTAAAGTTTAACATTATTCAAAACGTTGGGTGGCTGAGGACGAAGTATGCATCTTTAGTTTCAAAATMAATATAATTTAAGAAAATATTTTACATGAACAACTCTATCAGTGCAGATTAAAAATAAACGAATTGGCGATTAAATATAAATAAACTTAATAGCTACAGGAWATTGAACAAAGCTTTCCCATATACMAATAATAAGATAAACTGGGGAAAAAATATTTGAAGATAAGACTTCATATAGGACAATCGTGAACAAAACTATCATTTATTAAAAATAGTTAGCTAACAAGTTAATTTCCAAAATAATGGAGACAAACACGTTGTTTTGAGATAAGCCTTTATATGGGACAACAGTATATATCAAATATAACGACAAAACAAAAGAAAAAAGAAAAAGAAAAATACTGAAAAACATTGAAAGCAAGACTAAAATAGAATAATATATGGCCTACTGGAAACTTGGCAATCACTATAATCCACTACATGAATTCATTTTGAGTGTTCGCTTGTCGTTATTAAATTGTAAAACCAGACAGTGCTTTTACAATATCACGCTGTTTCAAAGTGGTATTTTTCAATTTCATGCCGTTTTTGTATTTTTTTTACCAAAAATACAGCTGCTCTATTGCCCACGAGCGGTCATCAAGCCGGCTATATTGAAAGACTGATTTCAAAGTTTAAGTCTTAATTGATTGAAGCGAGATTTAGACATGAGTGTCCGTGAAAGTATAGGAACATTTGAAAGGGAAAAATTAGCTAAAAAAATCATCTCATTTCCTTTTGGCATTTATCGTTTTCCAAACATATTAAAAAGGTGGGATTCACAAGTATGTGTAAAAAAAAACTAGTCTATATTTCCCGTTATTATATTCTTTTGAATAAAAAAAAAGTTTTTTCATTAAAACATGATTTTTTTCATTAAATGGGAAATACAGAAAAGGGTACTCGAGTTGTATTATAGACCTAGTTCGACTGATTTGTATTTACATTTTTGGTATCGGTAATACAATATTTATGTGTTATGCTCTTGCTTGAAACGAGGAACAAATTGTTTTAGTAAGCTTGAGCTAGATTTTACTAAATTTATCAGCGCAATGAAACCTTAAATTACAGTGATAAAATTAAAGTTTTCATTGCAAAACTATTGAACTTTTTTTGCAAATGACATAATAACTATTTAATGATACTCGAGGAGGAAAAAATCATTTTTTTTAATTTTTAACAAGAATTTTTCTATTACACTACATATAACCTTACCCTTCGACTGGACAATTCCAATGATTAACARTTGCTCAAGTAAAMRTACAAAACGACGCATCTTTTACCTGAAACACAAATTTGCAATATTTTATCAAATTGCGCGAGTACTCTAAAAATTGACTTATGTCATATCATTATTAAAATCTAAAGACGTACTACTTTTCTGCTTATTTCTCAAGATTCACGCATGATAATCAWGATTTTGAATAGAAACTAGTAATTTGAAGGCTGTCATTTAAAAAACTCTTACCTCACCGCATGGAGACTTAGTAAMTGGCTATCACWGTCTTTTTTCCACAGTTTTGAACACAAGGGAAATCTATGAAAATTGGCTTCACATTACAGTTAAATGAAGCCCTCCTATTAAGTCAATGACCAAATACAGRAAAATTAATATTTTAGCTTGGTGTCTCGTTCCACTCACAACGGTGAAGAAAAAGAAGAGCTGACTTTCACAGCTAGTGRAAATGTAGTGATTAAGACACAACAAAGTAAAGTGTTGGCAGTCACACAGGCTTCCAAATAATTACCACTCACTTAAGAAAGCGTTGATAAATTATTAAAGGTTTTTGCTATGAGGAAAAGAAAAAAATCGCACGTCTTTGAAGCGGGAATAATAKGACGATGTATAGAACTACAGGCAGTCGCGACAAAAATGTGTTAAAGTAGTGATATCTAAGCGTCTTCTTTGTGGAATATATCTTGAAAAAGACGTTGGCAATGAAAACAAATTATGTACGTGCAGTAAAAAGAGGTGGTGATTGTTCGAAACAGTCTTGATTGCATTACACATATTCTATTCAAAAACCCTTGAAATTTGCTTCATTATTAACGAAGGTTGGTGAATACGTCTTGCGCAACAGCTAAAGAATTCATAAAAGCGAAATTATTCTAGAATCATTTATAACATCGATAATGTTAGTAATCCCCAAAACAAATTCCAGTTCTTAATGACTCAACAAGAAGCTTAGATTTTACTGAAAACTATCCAAAAATAGCACTGCACATTGCCATATTTTGACCGAAAGCAATGGAAATTAAAATAGTCTTTTGAAATAAATTGTTAACAAATTGCGTTTAGGTCTAAAAGTTTAAATATGATTATTCCTTTATGAAATAATGGAAAAGATGGAATAAGAAACGGTGATAAATTTAGCGGGTGGACGACTCCTCCCTTCCGTTCTTGAGTTTAGAGTAGTCATGGATGGTGTTCCCTGCAACTCCTGGTTTGTTATTTGTTTATCTATTGATTTATTAGTTTATAAATTCATTTATTTGCCTGTATCATTGGT